CAATCTGTCCTTCCTGCCGGTGCTTCCAACGTAACCTTTCTGCACAGCCGGGGTCAGTTTGATAAGCCCCTCCCCGGCCTGTGCCATGCTGTCCCCTGTCCGCGCTGCCCTGCTTGTGGTTCCTCGTCTGTGTGCTGCTGGCCTGCCCCTCCTTCACGGTCCTGTGCTTGGGGAGCCTCCAGGCACCCCAGGGGACCTCGGGGCTCGCTCCCCGGCTCTGAACACGCAGTCCTCTGTCCCACTGGTTCTTAGACTGTGAGCCCCTCGAGGACAGGCACCTTGCTTTTCACATCTCCAGCGCCCTGAGGAAGGACGGACACCTCTGGGCGTGTGAGTGGGTGAGCTGGCCACCTCGCCCCTGTGTCTGTCTTGCGTGCCTCGCGTAGCCTGGCGCTTCCTGCCATCACGCCACCCTCTGCAGACCAAGACGGCGCTCCCGAACCAGCACCGCTCGCAAGCCTGTGAAACTGGGCGCAAGGTGAGGGGTGCTATCTGTGATTGAGGGACATGGCAAATAGAATTGTCTCACACAGAAATCGCACCCGTCACCTTGGCCCGCCTACCACCAGCCCTAAGCGAAGGACGGCACCTTCCCCGGCCAGCAGCCTCGTGTTCACGGACCTACAGCCGTTGGTGGCCCTGAGGCGTGTGCACGTCGGTCGTGGAGTCGGGCGGATCTGGGCCCGAGCACGGTTTGTGCCGAGGGTGTGCCCTTGGCCAAGTCGCCGCGCTTTTCTGGGACCGTTTCTCCACGCGTGCGACGGGTTCATCGCACCTACCTCACAGGGTTGTCGTGAGGGTAACGTGAGACGGCGTGTGTGCAGTGCCTTGTCACCCGTGAATTACTGTAACCGTTTGAAGTTACTCGCTTTTTATGCGTGTTTGAAAAGTCAGCTAACGACATCACCTCCTAAGGTGACTCTGAGGGCCCTGCTCTGGGACGCAGAGGGAGGTCGGGCCGCACGGCCCGGGGGGTTCGGGAACGCGGGGCCGAGAGGGAGCCAGGGCCGCGCCGGCTGCACGGTGGGACCGAGCCAAGAGCAGCCAACAAGGAGGGTGGGGCAGGTCTCGGTGGTTTGGGACTTGAAATACAGGCTCTGGGAAGAGGCTCCGCCCGACGTCGGGGTCTCCCGCCGTACACTGACGGCACTCTGTATCCCTCTTGGGGGCCCCCAATTTCCAGACACCCCGCCGTTAGCTCCCTTTAAAGAGCTGCCGCTTCGTTTGCAGTTCACCTCCTGGAAGAGGAAGGCCGGCTGCCCACGGCCCCAGGATTCTCGCCCGAACGCTAATGGGGAGATTTCTTTGGGGCTCTCGGTTTCCCGTAGCTACAGCCTGCACACGGTGCCCGGTCAGCGCTTGGCACGGCGCGTGGCCTGCCTCTCCGGCTCCTGCCCGTGCGCCTCGAGCCGGCCGCCATGCCCCACCCGCACCCCCGCCCCAGTTCCCTCTTCACGATGTGATCCGTCAGCTGCGAAGCGCCCCGAGGATGCCAGTGCGGTGTCATTGTCCCTGGGGCACCCTGTCCCCCGACGCCGTCCTCGGACCTCGCCCCTGAATGAGGGCAGGGGCACGACTGGTGTGGGAGAAGACGTGGGGCCCCGCTCCTCGAGGAGAGGACATGACCCCTTCCCACACGCCACCCGCTTGCTCATCCCACTGGGTCTTCACGCGGCCTCTGCGACCGTCAGGGGGACGTGAGGGATTCTTGTCCCCACTTTAGGGATGAGGAAAAGAGGGCTCACAGCAGCAAGTGACTTGCCCCCAGGCCACGCTGGGGAGGGACATAGCCACAGCCTCCGAATCGCCAGTCCCTGTCTCTCCCGTCAGACCAGAGTGCCTGTCAGAAGAGCCGAGCCCCTGGGTCAGCTGGTGGCCTCCAGGCTCTGTCCATCATAACCCAGCTCGATCTGGGTTGACTATTATGGGCACTCGGCCTGGCCCATCTTTATGGCCCAAAGCCTGGGCCTTTTAGTAAGTCAAAAACTCACTAGCATCCCGTTTCTTTTTCTCACCTGGTGTCTGTTTCTTTCCTCAAGAACGATAACTTCACAGGTCAGCCTTCTGCCAAGTGTAGCTCGTACCGGACAAGCGCCAGCTCATGTTATCTTAGTGAGTAACTGTCACAAGGACTCCCAAACCCAAGTGCTGAACTTGGGGTACAGCTTGCAGTTTCTGGAGGGGACAAGGTGTGAGCATTTGAGGCCCTGTCCCCTGCCTGTTTGCGGCCTGCCCTCATTCACCCATTATGTTCGTTCAGCAGGCGACGGGGTTTTCACAGTAGACACCTGCTTCATTTGTCTGCTTCTACGCCGAGCCCGTGATAGTCCATGTTCATATGCAAGCAGATGAACCTTCTCAAGTCTAGCTCAGGTCGGGGCAGCCCTTGCTCGGGACCCTACAGGGACGTCCAGTCTTGCTCAGAACCGGACCCAAATCCAAAGCAAGGCCTGCACAGACCACTCGGCCCTGGCGCCTTCCGAGCCCACCTCCTCCCGCTCTGCCTCACTCCCTTCCGGTCACTTTGGCCTCCTTGTTGCGTCCCCGAGCATGCCACGCCTGCTCCTGACACTGGGTCTTAGACCTGATGCCCCTCGGCCTGGAATATTCTTCCCTCCGCGTAGCCCGTGGCTCCTTCCCTCCCACCTCTGCTCACACATCCACTAGTCGTCACCTGCCACTTCAGTTCTCTCACCTGCTGTGTTCCTGCTCCCTGCGTGTCCCGGGTGCGTCAGTTCCAGGACAGCAGCGTGTGCGCCCGGCACAGTGATACTTGTGTGATAAGTGAGCGAACAGACATTTGCGGGGCGTCCGTGCTGGGCGGGACACCCAGCACGCAGAGATGAGAAAGGTAGGCTCCTGTGTTCCCGGGGCCCGGTCAGATGGAGAAGGGAAACTGGGCAGTGCGCTGTGGCAGGTGGGAAGCACAGGGCCTGTGGGAGCCTAGAGAACAGGCCTGGCACGCGGGCTGAGGTAGGGGGACAGGGCCGTCGGGAAAGCCTCTGTGGGGGGCAAGCCTGATCTGGGTCTCCCAAGTGTGGATAGAAGTTTGCCAGCGAGAAGAGAGAGAAGCGGTTCTGAAAAGAGGCAGCCACAGGTGCAAAGGCACAGAGACTTGCCGGAGTTCTCCACAGGGGCGCTGCGCATCCTGGACTCTGTGGGAGACTAGGTGAGGCTGGGGATGGGCACGGCCAGGACTTCAGGGACAGCTTTGAGCACAGTAAGGCATAGGCCTTCCCCTGGACGGTCAGGAAGCAGCCCCCAAGGCCCGGGCCTTCACAGCTTCCTCTCCCTGCCAACCACATCTTCAGAGGCGAGGAATCACGGCCTGGCGATCTCTGCCTGGGAGCCGTGGCTCTCAGCAGGGGCCCAGCAGATTCCCAGCTGGCTTGCAGCTTCCCGAGGCCTGGGCACATCGGCTCCGGCCGCCCCGCCCCCGTGCCACTCTGACTTCTTCCCAGACGGAGTCGGTGATGGTTTGCTCTGACGGCTGGCCTCCGTAACCACCGTGCGCTGACGGCGCCCCTGCCTGTCTCCCCGCTTCCGAGCCGCGCAGGCCCTGTTCGGGGCGGCAGAAAGGTGTAGCCGTGATTCCCAGGAATCTTGACCCAACTTGACTACCGATCTAGATGGGTGATTCACACCTCTGAATCTCTGTTTTTCTGATCTGTCACACAGAGTGATAATAACAGCTTGTCACCTTGTTTTGAGAATTCCACACGGTGACGCGGAAGCATAAATACAGGGTTTCTGTGACGCAAGGTGCTCAGAGTCCGGCAGGGGCGCAGGCAGGCACCTACTCAGTTCGAACAGAAGGCAGCCGAGGCGCCAGGCCGGGTCAGGCTCACAGGAGGAATGTTCCCTGTGAGGATGTCAGGGGTGCCTTGTGGATGCCCCAGAGCAGGCCTCAGAGGAGGTGGGCCCGTGGGGCACAAGGGGGGACGTGCCGCATCACCAGCAAAGGGACCACCAGAGAGAGGCAGGAAAGACCGAAACGTTTCAGGAAGTGCTGGGCTCCAAGGACGTGGGTGGGCGTGAGCACTGGCCAGGAGCCCTCCCCCCCCCCCCCCCCACCGCACCACCAAGTGGGCTGCGGTGTGGCCTGAAGACACTCCAGACTCACGTGGATTTCATGTCCTGCTCCTCGATGTATCTGTGCTTATTTCCTTGTTTTGAATTCCTTACCTTTCAGTAAAATTGATGCTCCCGGTGGTCCGTGTTCTCCGTTCCTCCACGTACCGCCGGAGTGCCACCAAGCTGTTGGGGTGCCCGCCCCCAGTTGGAAGGGCTGGCCGCAGGTGTGGGAGCCCATTTCAGTGTAGGAGCAGAGGGCGGAGGGGACCGGCCTCAGAAGCAGAGCACGCGAGTGACTGGGGTGCGGGTCCTGCTGACCCCGCCGGCATTGACCTCGGAGTCTCGGGCACAGCTGAAGATCAGCCGCGCCAGGCGCCCTTACCAGGATGTTCCTATGTGACCTGGTCTAGAAATAACTTCTCTCCGTTGCTTGCCTCCTTCAGAGTAAGAAATTGGGAGTGAGTCCTTGTTGAACAAACAGTTAACGAGCTAGGTTGTAGAGGGCCGACGGAGCCGTATCAGCCAAGACGGAGCAACCAGCCCAGAAAGGCCTGACTGCGGAAGCAGTGCCCAGGTCCAGCCGTCTGCCTGCCTGTGTTTTGGCACATGTCCTTGCCCTCCCTTGTGCAAACGCTGGGACCGGGGCTGCATCACCGGCCTCCTGGGGCACCAGTGGCTGGAAGCAGGCAGGTCAGGCTGAGCCCTGCTGCTGGGTGTGAAAGGCCGCAGGTCCCATCCAGGTGGAAGTCAGGGAAACGCCGAAGCTGAAATAGAATTAACCCCGGGGTCTTCTGAATCTGCAGCCTGAGCTTGTGTGGCTGCTTTTTCCTAGCGGGCGCCACTTTGTTTGTTTTTATTTATTTTTGGGAGAGCGAGCGCGAGCAGGGGAGGGGCAGAGAGAGGGAGACACAGGATCCCAAGCAGGTTCTGGGCTCCACACTGCCAGCACAGAGCCTGACGCAGGGCTCGATCTCACGAATGGTGAGATCGTGACCTGAGCCACCCAGGCGCCCCTAACACACACTGCTTTTTGCGTAGAAGTGGCCCGTTGCTGGCAGCAGGCCGTGAGCTGGCTTTTTGACTAAATGCGAAGGAGAGAGCCTGTCCCTGGCGGCCTCTGCTCCGGGCAGCCTGCGCGGTGTGACCGTTGTAGAGGGGAGAGCGGGGCAGCGTGGGGGTGGAAGCTGCGGTCCCGGTGTTGGTCCTGGTCCCGGTCCCGGTTCTGACTCTGTCCCTCGCTCATGTGATGTAGGCAGGTTTTGGATGTGTCTGGGCGTCCCTGGCCAGATGGGTAATGATAACACCACCACCTCTGGGATGCATTGTGAGAATTTCACGGACACAAAAATGTTACTCACTGGGGACTACCTAAGACGGAAAGGAAACCGCTTCGGTGGGCCGCACCGTATCAAGAGTCTAGGCTGACGCAAACGAGTTTTTGACCCCCACGCTCCAAGACAAGTGGTGGGTGCCTTTTATTATTTTTCAGATAAGAAAACAGTTGCCGTAACGTGCCCACGGCCAGGGATAAGTGACAGAGCCGGGGCCGCATTCACCTGCCAGTGCCTCTAGTCCACACGCTCCGGGCAGGGGTCCGGGCAGGGACACACGCTGTCCGCACTGTGATGCCACCTCCCCAGTGCAGCCCCACAGGCAGGGAAATGCAGTCCCAAAGAGGGACTGTGACCGGCCAGCCCAAGGTCCCAAAGACCCACAGAACGGATGTCAGTGGCTTGCGGAAGGATCTGGACAGACGGGACCGTGTGAGCCCTGCATCGGGGAGGAACGGAGGGGGGAGACGATGGGCCGGCCTTCAGGGGACCCTCCTAGGCAGCGTGTGCCACATTGCTTGAAGTCCAGTGTCTCCCTATAGATTTGTGTGTTTGCGTATTTGCATTTGCCGCCCAGGGAAACAAAGAGGGAAGAGGGAAAGGCAGGTGGGCCCAGCCCAGGTAAGTCACCGGCTAGCGAAAGAGGGTGCTGGAGGCGGCGGCTGGGGCTGCCGGCAGGTTAGAGCGTAGGAGGCCTCGGGTCCGAAAGTGAGGATTTCCCACGGGAACTGGTGGGACCTGCAGGCTTCCTGGCTCAGGGATGGCACGGAAGGGCTTCCTGCTGTTCCATCTGCAAACATGGCTCCTGGGGGCGAGCCTGGGCCGGAGACCCCCACTCAGGAGAGCGCGAGGCTGAGGCCTAGACAGCGCAGGGAGGCAGAGCTGAGGGGCAGTTTCCCCCCAGGGCTGGCATTCCCTGGAGACCGGTAGAGGGCAGAGCGTTAAGCCTGGTGGGACTGGGGAGATTAGCATTGCTCTACTGAGAGGGGCTGACCCGTTTCCGAAGGAGAGTGTGACGCCAGGTTTGGGCTGGCCACACAGACGTTCCCTGCGCGCTTCCCACCAGGCCCTGCGCAGGGTGCTTGGGGACAAGAAGGTACAGGCGTGGGATTTGCTCTCAGGCTCACAGTCCAGTGGAGTAAACAGTGGAGGAACTGGTATCGGCAGTGGGCGCGTTCCCTAGGGCACAAAGGTACAGGACGCTACAGCGGAGCAGCAAAGGGACAAGGGGGAAGCGACCCTTCCTGCCACCTGAGGAGCCAGGGAACGCTCCACAGGGACAGGGACCCACTTCACCTGGGCTCTGTGGGTCCCGGAAAGTGCAGGCAAGTGTTCCTGGCAGAAGGAACAGCCACTATGCCCACAGGTGTGGCAGTAGGAAGGGGTCCCAGGGCAGTGGGAGAGAGGCGTGCCTGCTGGCAGGTCGAAGGACTGAGCTCCTTGGAGCCGATCCGGCTGGGAAAGAAAGCAGGAGTGGCAGGGACTGGTTGGGAGGAAGCAGACGTGACGGCAAGGAAGGAAGAGTGAGGAACAGCAGCAGGGACGCCCAGGGAGCCTGGGGAGAGCAGGTGGTCTACGCAAACAGTGCCTGGGCTTCTGCCTTTGGCCGCTCACCCGTTGCTTTCTGGCTCCGTGCCCAAACTGTCCCGTCCCACTGCCTGCAAGGGACAAGAGGAGAGCCGGGGGGGGGGGAGGGGTCTTCTGGCAGACACCTGGTGTCACCATGGCCCGTGGGCTGGCCCCAGAGGGGTCTGGCTGCTTCTCCACAGCCCCCAGAACCTGCTAGAATCAGGTAGGCAGGACGGTTCTGATAGGTTAGCTGGGAGGCTTCATTAAAGATTGAGGCAGTGAAGCCCATTTGACGGCTGGCTGGCGTATCGGTTTCCCACTGCCTGAGCCGGGTGGCCGAGGAAGGACGGGTAAGTGGCCGGGATGCGAGAGGCCTGCGCCCCGGACTGCGCCCGGGGGCCTGCCCGGAATGGTCAGCAGAGAGTGGACCTTCCGCTGCTTCTGCTTCTGCCACTGCCACTGCACCGTGCTTTGCAGAGTGAGCTGTAGGTGACGGGGTGCCTCCATTCTGCTCCTCACGGGGGCTCCTCCCCGCTCCTCACAGGGGCTCCTCCCGCTCTGCGTGGGGGGCTCCTCCCTGCTCCTCACGGGGGCTCCTCCCTGCTCCTCATGGGAGGCTCCTCCCTGCTCCTCACAGGGGCTCCTCCCGCTCTGCGTGGGGGGCTCCTCTCCTCTCCTCACGGGGGCTCCTCCCCACTCTGCATGGCGGGGCTCCTTTCCCCCCTTCATGGGGGTTCCTCCCCGCTCCTCACAGGGGGCTCCTCTCTGCTCCTCACGGGGCCTCCTCTCCTCTCCTCACAGGGGCTCCTCCCTGCTCCTCACAGGGGCTCCTCCCACTCTACATGGGGGGCTCCTCTCCTCTCCTCACGAGGGCTCCTCCCCACTCTGCATGGGGGGGCTCCTTTCCCGCCCTTCATGGGGGTTCCTCCCCGCTCCTTACAGGGGGCTCCTCTCCTCTCCTCACGGGGGCTCCTCCCTGCTCCTCACAGGGGCTCCTCCCCACTCTGCATGGGGGGCTCCTCTCCTCTCCTCACAGGGGCTCCTCCCTGCTCCTCATGGGGGCTCCTCCCCCGTCCTCACAGAGGATCTCCCTGCTCCTCACAGGAGGTCTCTCCTCCCTGCTCTTGAGGGGGGTCCTCCCCATTCTCACAGGGGGTTCCACCCTGCTCCTCACGAGGGGCTCCTCTCAGCTCCTCCCCGGGACTCTTCCCTTCTCCTCGTGGGGGCTCCTCCCTGCTCCTCACGGGCCCCTCCTCCTGCTCCCAGCTGCTGGGGTTGTGGGCATGAGCTTTCCTGGGACGAGGCGCCTGCCAGTGGCTGACCAGAGGGTAAATGCTGTTTTTCACGGAGGCCTTGCAAAGCACGGACAGAAGCAGCTGCATGCAGACCGGGCTTGGGAGACGGCTGCTGTCCCGGCAGCGCCGGTCGCTGGAGGCGTGTGTGGCCTCAGGTGGTTGCTCACCCTTTCTGAGCCTCAGTTTCCCCACCTGTGAGAGGTCTGATAGGCCCCGCCCTGGATAGCTGAGCAGATCAATGACCAGAATCCCGTAAAGGCGCTTTGTGACTCACACTGTAAAGGCGCGATGTATTTTCATTGTACTTCGTTCCGTCTGAGATTCTTCTCGAGGTTGGTTCTTTGTCCTGAAGCGAGCTTGTTAGGAAACGGCTACTTCACCTGGAAAGTGAGTGGCCTGGGGAGCACAGCCCGAGTGGATGAGGCAGGCTGGCTGGCAGTGTCCTGGCCTGGACCCTGGGAGCCTGGGTCCCAGCCCCGCTTCCCCCCGCGAGCAAGTCCTCCCTTCCCCCGGGCCTCAGGAGCCCCATGCGCCAGGACAGGGACAGGGAGGTGGGGCTGCTCGCCGGTACCGAGGCCGGCACAGGGCAAAGGCCCGTCCTCTGCAGGCTCCAGGCGGGTGCTCCTCACCATGCGGCCTTTCCGAAACGCGGTTCCCGCATCTACACAGGCTGACCTTCTAGGGCTACGGGCCGTTTGGACGCTGGCCTCTCTGCTACGGCTCTAGACGTTGGTCACCGTGGGGTGACGGTTGAACCGTAACGGGAGGGCTCAGGAATGAGGGTCTGTTACAGGAGTCCGGCGGATGACAGCTGGCCCTGGTGCTCTGAGTGAAACAACACAGGTGGGCTCACGCATCAGCCCGCTGTGAGCCCCGATTCATTGGTAAGGCCTCGGGAGGAAAGGCGCTGGAAGATTCACGCGGGGTAACTTCAGGCAAGCGACTGAACCGTCTCTCATCAAAGCAGGAGACGGCAGTGGCAGTCAGGATCTGTCTACTGCTGAGCCGAGTGCAGGAGGGGGGCTCAGCACCGCCACCCTGGTTTCCTAAGCGCGAAGGTGTGGAGACAGCTGCTTGTCCGGCCAGAGCCCTGGGCTAGGAGACCTTTGTCCCGGGCGCTGGTCCCAGCTCTGCCACCAATTCCTGTGTGGCCTTGGCGAGGCGCCTCTGAGGACTCAGGCCCGGATCACAGACTCCGTTCCCACACGGACACTAGCTTGCTCGGCAGCAGAGGCCTGGAAACGAGAGGGGGAGGAATGCTAAGGAATTGGTCTGGGAGGCCTGCCCCCGGTGCAAAGCGCCACCCTAAGTCAATCCAGAATGCAGGGACCCTCCAGAGGGAGAAGGAGCCAGCCAGAGATGTGGCAGAGGGGCGGAGGGGGCCTCAGAGGGGCTTGGGACTCTGCCCAGCCCAGATTAGGTAGCTGTCCTTCGCCGGCCAGAAATTCCATCAAGCATCACTGAGCAGGTGCTAGATCCTTTGTCCTGGGATCTCAGGTTCCCTCTTTTTCAGGAGGCCCAGGGGATGCCTTTCCTATAGAGGCTAACTCGAAACCTAGCCTGTCCCTTCTGTCCCAGAGGAGAGGGGAGGCTGGCGTCCCAGAGCCTCATGAATGTTAATGGACGGGCAGAAGGACAGCCTCTCTCAGGAGGAGGTGTCGGCAATGCCTCGGCTTATCTGCCCACCTCAGGCTGTATAATTTAACGTGGGCACCCGGGCCAGGAGCTGTAGGGCCCCCCCATCTGCCTTGCAGCACCAGACTTACGGGGATGGAGTCACACAGGAGCACTTGTGCCCTCCCTGGGGACTCTTAGCCCTGTGCTTCTTTATTATATGGTGGTGCATCTACTCATACCTCATTTGGAAGTTCAAAAAGAGGGAAACGATCCCACAGTCTCCTCCCCATATCGGGGTATTTCCTTCTTTGTCCCTTTATTATTTTTTTAATCTTTATTTTTGAGAGAGAGCGCGAGCGGGGGAGGGGCAGAGAGAGAGGGGGGACACAGAATCCGAAGCAGGCTCCGGGCTCCGAGCTGTCAGCACAGAGCCTGACGCGGGGCTCGATCTCATGAACCGTGAATTGTGACCTGAGCCGAAGTCAGACGTTCAACCAACTGAGCCACCCGGGGCCCCTCCTTCTTTGTCCTTTTAAATTGTAGAGATTTAGAACTGTGTGATACTTGGTTCCATCCTTCTCCCTTTATGGGAAACTGAGGCCCAGGGATGGGAGGGACTCCCCAGGATACCTGGCCACTTAGAGCAGAACCCCAACAAGAACTGGCGTGTCCTGGCTCCAGGTTCACCCTGAAGGGGATTTGTGGACACTGGAGCAGTCCAGGAGAGGCCAGCCGGGCATGGGGAAGGACTAGAAAGTGGGAATGAGGGGTAGCGGGAGGACTGGGCCATCTTCCCTGGGGTGGGGCCTGGAGCGGGCATGAGCACCGTGTGCTGCACAGAGGCCTCTAGGCCAGCACGTGAAAGACCGCCTGTCTGGTCCCACGGGGGACCCTTGGGAGCTGGGCCCTCAGGACTCCAGCCCACCAGGAGGAAGAGCAGCAGTGAGAACCCTATACAGAGCCTGTGCACAGCACGTAGTAGCTGCTCAGTAAACTCGGGTCCCCTCTTCCCTCATCCCATCTGTGGTTTCCCAGTGCCACCTCCGTTGGCGACCTGCAGTGTCTCTCCTGCTGTAGTGTCTCAGGGCTTATGGGGCACAGTCCCCAGCTTGGCCACTGTTTCCAGCCACGAGATGAGAGCTTCAAGAATGTGGCGCCTGCTGTAGTCTCAACATTTGGCTAGAGATCTTCACACAGTCTGCCTGGAGCGTAATCGTTCGTTTAGTCAACAAATATTTGCTGAGTGTTGACCGTATGCCAAGAACGACATTATGTGCTGAGAATACAGAGAACAAAACGGTTAAGTCCCTGGACAGTAAGTCAGACCACTCTGTTGGCCTGGGTTCGTTTTGCTGTCTGTCCTGGCACGTACAGGCAGAGTGGACAGGGAGCTCGGCGCCAGCAGGGTCCCCACAAGGAGGTGCCCGTGCAGCCAAGCAGGCCCCGGGCCCAGCAGCGAGGCTGGGGGGTGCGAGTGGGGCATCGGCCACATCTGGTTCATTCTCCTGGAGCCGGGTCATGCCACCGGGTTTCCCTCTTTGAGCTGCTCACCCCTGCCCCCCTCCGTTTCCTGAGGATGGTCACACCTCGCATCGGAAGCCCTTGGCAGATCCTTACGTCGAAGACAGAAGGTATAGAAGCCTTTAGAGAGTACCAGCGCCAGGCGTGGTCTCATCCCACCTCGGAACAGCCCTGGGAAGGGTGTGGTGATCATTAACACCCTGCTCACGGGCGAGAAACCGAGTGGGACTGGCCGGCCTCAAGTCCCCCCGGAGCCACGGGGAGAGGCGCCGTCCCTCAGCGATGACCTCAGACCCCCTGGCCCCACTTTCCCCTTTGGTCCGGCTGACTTCAGTGCCTCGGGTCAGTCACTTTGACTCTCCGCTCCATCTCTCAGCCTCTGTGGCGTGAAGGCCAGCCCTGTCCCCTCTGGCCAGGCTTCCGCGTCGCCCCTCCCCCGTGGGCCCCTGGCTGGAGTCCATGGCTCCGGTTTTGTTTTCTCCCCTGTCTTCCCCCCCGCTCGCTGACCCGTGGGGCTGAACGCTCCTCCTCCGGGTCTGCACCGCGCTCTGTAGAAGCAGGTGTTCGGGGGGACTTAAAGCTGTCTGGAAAGCGGCCTCCCAGACGGCAGCGAGTCAGTGCCTTCCCCAGGAAGCGTCCCCGTCCGGCGGGGGCCTGGAGGCGAGTGTCGGCGTGGGCCTCTGTCCCCGTCCCTCTCTGGGTGTTCAGACGGGAGGCCCCCTGCCCCGGCCTGCCCCCCGCTGCGAGCTCTCGTGCCGGCCCCGGGGCCCACACGCCGGTCGTGCACGGGCACCTGTGTCACCCCACCTCACGTTTTCCTCCCTCCTGCTCGTCTGCGAGGCCCGTAGGGTCTTTGTTTTCTCTTTGGCAAAACCTGTCGGAGGCGAGCGAGGGAGGGTGAGGGTTGACTTGGTGGGCGCCCCAGGCCACCTCCCACACGCAACGAGCTGTGACACCGGGGCCATCGTGGGGAGGCCGCTGGCCTTTGGCGAGCCCCCTCACCTCCCAGAGACACCAGCAACGCCTTCTGCGGGGCCACGGTGGGCCCAGCTGGGCGGCGGCGGCGGCAGCGAAGGCAGCGCTCTGTA